TATTTGTTGTTTGTATAATGTTGATACATTGTATTCCTTGCTTTGGCTAAATAATTGTTAAACTTGTTCGTTTGTATTAAAATTTGTTGTTTATTTTGTGTTTATGTGAGTATTTGTTGTTTTTTTTTTTAATATTTATTACTCACAATTTTAGTAGTACACTATTTCAATCTATTATGTAATACTCAGATTTTATGAACCCTAAAGTAGTTAGAAATATCCCAAGTTTTGGTAATTTTTTTGTATTGATTTTTTTTGTAACACAAATTTTGTTATTCATTTAATACAGTAGTATTGACGATGGCCGCTGAGGAAGTGTAACTGGTATTTCGATATGGGGGGTCATTTGAGACGAATGTAGGTGACAGACGGGTTATTTATAAAGTATGAAAATTGAAGGTCACCAAAAAATGGGAATAGTTCCTTGAAGGAATTAAAATATCATTTTGCTAATTTAACCAAGTGTGATCCAAGCAAATTAGTTGTTATGTACCACAATACAAGTTTATCTAGTGGGCTTGATTTGATTTATGTTAGTGATGATATAGATGTATCTTTTATGTTGGGAGGGGAATCTTCAAGAATTATAGTATATATTGTCGAGCCACAACAAGAATCTGTTGCTGAGGGCTCATCTTCAATGAATAGGTATATCTACAATTTATTTTTAAACTTGTAAATTGCTTTACTTTAATCGTATATATGCAAAAATTATTCCTTCATCTTACACCCTATCTTTTGTCAACAGTCGATGTAACGCTTTCCTAGAGCAAGATCAAAACATTGAAGTGGCGCCCAACCCTAAGCTCCTACCAAAGCGTGATATGGAGGATATTGAACTACTAGAGAGTTCATGTAGAGGAGTTGGTAACGACGTTCAATTGAATGTTGGGAGATTTTTTGAAAATGTTAATGAATGCCGACATCATCTAGTTGATTTTGCAATCCACAACAATTTTATTTTAAAGTTTGACAAAAGTGAATTCGGACGGATGTGGGCAACTTGCAAGGCAGAGGGATGCACATGGTAAGTGCGGTGCTTACGAATTGGCAGTACTGCATATTTTAAAGTGAAGTCTATGGTTAAGGAGCACACATGTAGTGGTCAAATGGGGAGGTTCCATCAGCCACTAGCTCATAGTGATTAGGTGGCACAAAAGATTAAAGGCCGCCTTCTTGACCAACAAAAAATTAACGCAAAAGACATTGTAAAGGATGTTCAACGTGATCACGGAGTCAGGCTTTCTTACATGTAAGCTTAGCAGGGAAAAGAGGTTGCTAGAGATATGATAGATGGATCACATAAACAACAGTACCATGACCTCCCCCTGTATATTGAAAAGATCAGAAGAACCAACCTAGAAACCAACGTTCACATCCACATAGATGAAGGCAGGTTCAAACGACTATTTATTGCTTATCGTCCATGTATTATGGGTTTTGTTAATGGATGCAAGTCACTAATTGGTATTGATGGACGATTCCTAAAAGGAAAGTATCAAGGTATTTTATTGTGTGTCATCGCGCTAGATGCAAATAATGGGCTCTTCCCATTGGCATTTGCAATGGTTGAGAAGGAGAACTACTAGAGTTGGTATTAGTTCTTAAGTATATTAAGTAAGCAATTGAATGGGTACCCTAATCTACCTGCCTTAACCATTATATCAGATTGACAGAAAAGTCTGCCAAAAGCAATAGAAAAATACTTTCCCACATGTTTTCCATGATTTTGCATGTGATATATGGGAGAGAACTTCAAGGGCTTTATGACGAGGTCAGCAAATACTGAAGTATTGCTGATGTTATTTTGGAAGACTGCTTGTAAAGTGACCATTGGTGGGTTTGAAAAAATAATGTTTGATATACAGTGTGCTGACCCAAAAACATATGATTGGATTAAGAATATTCCTCCCAAATTTTGGACAGATGCCTATTTTGCAAGGTCTAGCTATGTCATCTTACCTCAAACATGGTCGAGTCTTTCAATGCTTGGATTTTATCGGCTCGAGAGAAGCCAACCATTACAATATGTGAAGAAATAAGGGAACAGTTGATGATCAGGTTTGAACAGAAGAGGGAGGTAGGTAATACTTGGAGCACCATGCTAGTACCGAAGGCCCAAGAATTACTTTACATGCGAAAGATGAAGGCCCGATTTTTGCACATAATTATATCTGCCATGGACATGTAATTTGAGATCAATTATCTTGGAAAGAAGTACGTTGTTGATTTAACGCATTGGACGTACAATTGTAGAAAATGACAACTTAGTGGTATTCTGTGTGCCCATGCCATTGCGGCCATTAACCATATGCATTTGGATCCCATTGTGTACTGCCTTAAGTATTTTACAGTGAAATACTTTAAAAGGGCATTTGAAACTTCCTTTGTGCCTGTCCCAGATGATATTAAGTTGACAGGTATTTACAACCAGATAGTGTTGTCACCAAGGACTACACGCCTTCCCGGTAGGCCAAAAAAGCAACGAAGAATATCTGAGACGAAAAATCTGATCACCAGACCTTTGAAGTGCAAATGATGTGGCGCAGAGGGTCATAATAGGAGGTCATGCAGAGAACCGATGGAGTGAATTACTTGATGCTAATATCGTATTCTTGTATCTAATTAGAATTACATGAATTAATGAATGGATGAATATTCTGTTTTTGTTGTTAAAATTGTGTTAGTGCAATTAGAATTCTTTGTTGTCATAAATCTTTTAATGCAGAATTTGGAGCCCCTTCTGAAAATATGAAATTTTCGGATATGCTACATCCAAAAATAATTTCGAATGTTGAACATCCAAAAATTTGACATTTTCAGATGTTGAACATTTGGAAATATGAACATCTGAAAACCGGCAATTTTCGTATATTCAACATCCGAAAATGTGACTGTCAAAATCAAGGAACTTCCTGGATTGTGACAGTGAAATTTTCCGATGTTGAACATCCGAAAATGTCAAATTTTCGGATGTTCAACATGCGAAAATATTTTTCGGATGTTTCACATCTGAAAACTGGCAATTTTCGAATGTTCAACATCTGAAAATGTGACTGTCAAAATCTAGAAACTTCATGGATTGTGACAATGATATTTCGAATGTTGAACATCCGAAAATGTCAAATTCTCGGATGTTCAACATCCGAAAATATTTTCAGATGTTGCATATCCGAAAATTTGATATTTCGAATGTTAAACATCCGAAAGTGATTTCTGTCACGTGTCACATGTTCAATTTTCTTGTTCAGTTTTCCTATCACATGTTCAACTTTCCCTAGTTCAATTTAGTTCACATGATTTTTGTCACATGATTTCTGTCAAATGTTCAACTTTCCCTAGTTCAGTTTTCTTATCATGTTCATGCCACATGTGCACATTGAGAAACTCAAATTATAAACAATTTTAATACGTAAATTTAATACACATGTGCCACATGCCAGTCTTCACCTCTCAGAGAATGGAATGTTGTGCATTTATACACCAAGTAAGCAAACTCACGTATCAGTTAAAAGAAATTTTGTTTTTGCCATTACATGTTGGGAGAAATTTGTCTTTTCCATTAGATGCAGAGAAAATAAAAGACCATTAGATGCAGAGTACAACATTTCAAATTAGAAGGAAAAAGCAGCAAAAATAAATAAATGTCAAACCACAAAAAAAAAGTAAAAGAAGCAAAACCTTACCTTGTTGAACAAGATAAAGAAGGTTGAAGATAATGAGACTTCGAATCTGATTATCGTTTGAGAAAGCACGATAATAGGGAAGACGGATGAGCCGAGTCAAGGGAGAGGGGTGAGAGACAGTAGGGAGGTTTTGAGAGCGAACCAAGATAGTAAGGAGGTTTTGAGAGAGAGCCGAGACCATTGCGAGGGTTTGAATTAAAGATCGCTATTTTCGGATGTTGAACATCCGAAAATACCAAAAACTTAGATGTTGAACATTTGAAAATAACAAATTGAATGTGTTAACTTGCGTCCATTTTGGGATGTTCAACATCCGAAAAACACGCATATTCGGATGTTGAACATCCGAAAAAGGGTAAAGTTGTTTTTTTTAAAAATAATACGTTATGAAAGATAAACGGACACAAATGTAATAACGAAAAGTATTTGGTAGATCTGTAATAACGTAAAGCATAACAAATTTTTACGTAATTTTCTCAAAAAAAAAAAAGGAGTGAGAGGGAGACGAAAGAGGGAGAGAAAACAATTTTGATGGACAAACCCCCAAAATTCAACTGCAATCTAAATTTTTGGGGATTCGAGGGTTATTTGAATATTAGAAGATGCGATTTGGTCCCTTTGGGGATCCAAATATGAGGGTTATTTGAATATTAGGTGTTATTTGGTCCCTATCAAACAGGGTATATAAACTCATATAATTAAAATTATAACCTATTCTATATTATCCTTATATAATAGCCTTATATAATAGGATATCAAGGTGTTATCAAACATACCCTTAAGAAAAGATATTATATACAGTAAGACCATTTATATTTGTTACAAAGAGTTCAATTGCTACTAGTCATTAGATGTCAAATTGGATGATTTGGGTTGTGTTACAAAGTTTGAAATTATTTCTCTTTTTTAATTTTGAATCTAATCAATGACACTTACAACCACCCAATTTGAAATCTAACATACAAGAGTGATTATGATCTCTTTATATTAAAAGTAAATGGTTCTTTTGTACACTTTTCCTTTAAAAAACAAAAAAACAAAAAACAAAAAAAAACCATTCGACCCTCCAAGACCAACATATATTCTTTCAATTTGGACATTTGGAACAACCTCGTAATGCAATAATAGATAAACATGAGACCTCGAGGATAGTGGAAGTGGAAGGGTGCATCACCCTTACTATCCCCATCTTCGCAGAAACCCAAATTTCCACAAAGAAACCTTAAAACTCGTAATGCCTCCTCACCTTCCGTCGTTCAAATCAGCTAACTAAAATAAAGAATTTCCACAAACTCAAACCAACCCTAGTAGATCAGAAAAAAGAACTTAAATGCACCTTCAAATGAGAAGACCATGGACTGCTTATTCCCATTTACAGATGATGATCATCGGCATTTCCATGAGCATCAAGTACTATTAATAATCTTAGTCAGCTTTCCTACATAATCCTCTAAGCCAGCCATGTCAATCTCTGAACCCCCGCAAACCAAAGGAGGGAACATTATAAATAAGCCCAAAGTCTACAAGAAAAGGATCATAGTATCGTCATCATCACCACGGTCATTGGCATTTCAAAATGAAAAATGGAACCTTAACGAGTCCTAAGCAACTGGAGGGCGGAGAACATGGTCCTGTGATGTATCAACAGCAGCAGGAGGCATCCATTGCCACATGGCCACAGTGGGTTGATACCCCATAAATGGCATCATCTTCGCACCTGCCCCAACTGCTGGGCCTTGCGGAGAGGAAAAGGCCATGGGGTGAGGAATGAAGGGAGAAGGTGGTGGTGTGTTAATGGCCTTCACTTGCTGCTCCAGTCTCTCTTTGTCAGCTTTGAGCCTCAGCTTCTCGTCACGGAGCTCGTTCTTCTCTGCCTACGGATATAAGCAAGATAAGGATTAAGGAGACAAGGCCACTCATATTGCAAAACATCACCCCAGCTTAACCACAACAAAATTGAGAAACAAAAACCGAAGAGACCAGCGAGAAATCCAAAAGAAACACCGAGTCTTAGCACTCTGGGTGAGGTCATGACAGATTGGTTTCATCAATACAAGAGATTGCAAAAAGAAAAAGATAAGCTTGTCCATATAAATGATTGCAGCTGACAATATTCGACAGTTGACAGTGAGAATAAATTGTTTGATATAGAACACAAGCGCATGTAATGTGCACCGGTCTACGAACTAGAACATGACAAGGCAAATTTGGAAATCCAAATTCCTTTATGTTAAAATAAAAAAAGAATTGTATACTATAAGACCATTTAATTAAAATACAAGGATGCCGCAATGATCCATAGCCATTATGAAATCTAAGAGCTTGGATTGTGTCATAAAGTTTAAAAAACTCTTTATGAACTTTGACCCTAGTTAATAAGACACCCCAGAAGCCCAATTTCACAACCAAAAGCCAAGGTTAATTTTTAACATTGTGCCAAAAGTAAATCATCTTATTGTATACCTTTCTACAGGGGAAAAAAAAAACCAAAAGTGAAACCACATGCCCTTTATTTTCACAGGTACGGAGCCCTTAACTTTCAGCGAGACAAGATATGTTTTAATTTAGTAACAATTAAAGTCCCATAGGATTTCCCTGGTTTTGACAATACACCCCATTGTCATTGGCAGAATACGAGAGAACTTCAATCATGATGAAACTTGAAAGTACCAATGTTGTTAGGTCCTAACCATCATAAATGAGTAAATTGACAAGATTTTCCCATTTTTGACCAGCAATAAGTCTAATTATATATTTAACACAAAGGATTCCAATTAAACCAGATTATTCTTTATAAAAGACCTTCCGCAAAAAAATTACCAGGAATAGGCCGATAACCACAAACAAGAGGGCAAGCATACCTTCAGATCCTTGATCTTTTCTTGAAGCTCATCATTTGCTTCTTTGAGCTTCCTTGCTTCACTTTGCAACTGATTCAGAACTCGGATGGCATCACTCAGGATGGTCGCTTTGTCAGTTTTAGGGGGCCTTCCCGGCTCCAGAATGGCACCTAATTCCAAGAACCTGCCAGCACCCTGATATCAATGTCGCATCGGGCAAAATATAAATGACAAAAAACTAGACAACATTCCAAGGTCAACCGTAAATGTGGCCATGGATTCACAAAAATTACTGCAGAGCATAAAGCATCCCACATAAATGTTTATTCAAAGTGAATATTTTTTTTTTATTTTCTTATTATATGTCCTTTTCCATGTTTTATAATACTGTACAAATAAATTCATACTCCATCTACATTGATATGTATGGAATATATAGCAGACTACGAATAGTATACCATATGCATGTCACCTGTTGTCTCCACCATCCGTTCTCAATGAAGGACTATGGACATGAACCGCTCCTTCACTTAGTAGACAATGGTAGAGGAACAGTACATCCCCACCACAGTTATTAAGAACAGGTAGAGGAGAGTTAATATGGAAAAGAAAGAGTATGCTTATTGTTACAGGGTAAGTAACAGCAAAAGAAAGAAGAGAGTATGCCTGTCATTCAACCGATCCCTTCGCATTTTCTCACGGCATGCCTTAGATCCAGAGCCACTGCAGGGTTCAGATCGGGGTCTGGAACGTGACATACAAATAAATAAGATGCAGTAATCAAAGAGAAACACAAGCAAATATACTTTAAGCAAATATTCTTCACTTTAGCTACCAGGATCATCCAACATGGAAGATAATCCACTCCAAGAACACAGTCCCATGTTCCCAGAGCTGGATCGCAGTCCCATGTTGGGGGACTGCAATCCCAATTCCTTTGGATCGCCCCACCTATCTTTAGTATATTTTCCAAAAGGTGAAAGAAAATAAATACTTAAATCTGATCCTTCCAAAATTACACCTAATGAAATGATGATGGGTCCCAAATTTAGCAGCTTTGATCAGCTATAGATAAGTAAGGATTTCGGAAAAGTCATCTCCCCAAAAACACATCTACACGCAAGAATAATAAACATTCCCATCTTTTCTGGATATAGCATACAACATAATTGCCCCCTATCCCCTCAAATCTCCTAATTCCTAGCCAAAAATGTCAGCTACAAATAAATTAATCACAAAAATACAGGCAAATAACCTTTAGTTCAGAACCCAAAAATTTACATATTGTTTTCAAGAAAAAGATCCTATAAGCCAACATGCTTATATAATGGCATATATGCCTGTTTGAGCTAGAAGGTTTTGTTTAACCCCAAATTTTAATCACACGCTCCTCTCATCCTAGCAATAAAAATAAAAAAATACATAGGAAAAAATACACAAAGTCCAAAGTGGGTCTACCATTTTTGGTGAATGAAGGCCTTGGCCAACTAGGTGTTTAAGAACTCAAGACAGATTTTTCTTTTTTGAAATTGCTCATTCACTGAATCAAATATGTTATGCAAACTTTTCCTAAAAAACTCGCTCAAGCTGGGTATTTTAGCCAACGGGGTTTTACTGTAGCATAAACCAGTTGGCATACAAAATCTTTTTCCAGTTTCTTTTTGAATGTTAAACTATGGACCTGTGAAATAGTTTTCTAATGGGTTCACAAAAAAAATTATTAGAGTATCGTATTTATTTACTTATTTATTTATCTGTACATACATTATTACACATTCGTTTATGATAATACTCACTTATATGAATCAGTGTTAAAAGAGGTGCCCCCCATCGGTGCCTAGGCAAGCCAAGGCCCTAAGCACATTGCCCAGAGGTAGGTGGTGGAGATGCCTCTAGGCACCAGCCTAGGCGGCACCTTGCCCGCCTAGTGCCTTGGACAAGGCGAGCAAATTTGGCCCACTCCTTTCTTTCCTACATTTATCATCATCGTCACCGAGCCTCATCCCAACTATATTGAATAGGCTACATGAATTTTGTTCTGCCATTCCGCTCTATCAAGGGTCAAACCATAAGTTATTGTATCTTTTATTACTACTTCCATCCAAATCCTTTGGGACCTTCCGCTTGACCTTTTGAAGCCTTCCGCTTGAATCAAATAACCCCTCCTAATCAGTGTTGTTCTAGGTCAACCGCACATGACCAAACCACCTAAATTTACTTTCCCTCATTTTATTCCCTATTATAGCGGTACAATTCTATTAAATTACTATAATATATAACTATTACAGGGTATTAAATATTATTTATAGAGAGAGAGCAAGGGATGATGAGGTCTCTACTATGTAGTAGTACCATTGCATAGTACTACAACTACATATATTCCATATCCTATTCTATTGTACCAGATAGTATATATATATATATATATATATATGGGATTATCTACAAAGAGGCCATTTACATTTTGTACAAGGAGGTCACAATTAATCCAACTCGTTAGATGCCAAATTGGATGGCTTGGGGTGAGTCACGAAGTCCGAGAATGCTTTTTTGGAACTGTGTCTAATCAATGACACACTTACAACTACCCATTTTGAACTCTAAGGGACAAGAATGATCGTGACCGACTTGTACAAAAAGGAAATGGTCACTTTGTATATATATGTATATGGGTAGTGATTTCATGCAACGATTGTATAGTAATATAATGCAACAACCTTCAAAAACCATGTTAGAGCTATTTGTTTCATCCAAATTTTGAAATATACACTCTTTTTATTCTAATGAACAATCACAAAAAAGAAAAATTTGAAAACGGAATCTAGAAAGTATTTTTTTAGCCCAATTAACATACGCCGTCCATTTTGATAAGATGCTTAGATCTAGGCTTTAGAAGAATTTTTTCTTTTCCAATTTTTCTAGATGGCTTTATTATCATTAGAGGAAAAATGTTCACAGAGAAAAAAATGATTTTGAGTTTGTAAAGGCGAAGATCTTGAAATTCACCAAATGAGTGGTCTAGATTTGTTGTTGGAGGGAACTCATTCTGACCATATCTAAGGTCCAAATTGAACTTTTTTTTGGGGGGGGGGGGATTGATTATTGGGATGAAAAGAGTGTGTGTAAAATTTCAAATCATACAAATACCACAAACATGGTTTTCTAGAAGTGTGGTTGCATCATACTATGATCCAACGGTTGCATGTAATCACTGCTCTATATATATATATATATATATATATAGAGAGAGAGAGAGAGAGAGAGCAGAACGAGCAGATCTACAAACACATGAAAATCTTGAGAATAGATGATCTAAATAAAGTACTACAAAATGTACCATTTTTGGTGCTTTAAAATTTTTTTTCGTTCACATCCATACATCTCAAGGTCGAGATGATCAATTACAGGGTTTTTTATCATCAAAACAACATTTTTCAATGGATTTTTGAGGCATGCCTTTTTTCTACAGTTTAAGGTTGCAACATTTTATATATATATATATAGAAAAGTATAGAATGAGACCATTTACCTTTGGTACAAGGTTAGACATTAATCTTGACCATTGGATGTGAAATTTGGTGTCTGCAATTATTCCCTTGACCAAGCTCAAACTTCAAAAGAAATTTTCTCGAACTTTGTGACACATCCAAGCTATCAAACTTCACATCGGATGGTTGTAAGTAATTGTGACCATCTTGTATCAAAGGTAAATGGCCGCATTGTATACAATCCCTATATATATATATATATATATATATATATACACTAGACTAACAGACTACAGTAGTTACGACCAACAACTACGTCGGTACTACTACTAACGTACGACGTACTCTCTATTTAGTTAATTAATTAATTTTAATT